CCTCCTCCTCCTCCTCCTCCTCCTCCTCCTCCTCCTCCGCCATCGCCTCCTCCTCCTCATCCTCCTCCACCTCCTCATCCTCCTCAAGGTCCTCCCAGTCGCCTCAGTCTTCCGCGAGGACGACTGCGCCGACCAGAAGGAGGACGACGAAGACGACGACACCAACGACGACGACAACGACGACGACGAGGATGCGGCCGAGGACGCGGACGAGGGCGAGGACGAGGACGAGGACGACGACGACGACGACGGCGGCGACGAGGACAAGGATGGGGGCGAGGACGAGGGCGAGGATTACGACGACGGACGATGACGACGACGTCGACGACGACGACGACGACGACGACGACGACGACAGCGACGCATTGCAGATTCCGTATGGGGGGAGGGAGGTTCTGCGGAGGCCCGCTGAAGTCGACGACGACGACGACGACGACGACGATGGACGACGGACGACGACGACGACGACGACGACGACGACGACGACGACGACGACCGACGACCGACGACCGACGACCGATGACGACGACGACGACGACCGACGACGACGAGGATGAGGACGAGGACGTGGACGAGGACGGCGACGACTGACGACTGCGCCAGCCAGAACGACGACGACAAAGACGACGACAACGACGACGACGACAGCGACGACGACAACGACGACGACGACGACGATGAGGACGAGGATGAGGACGAGGACGACGACGACGACGGCAACGGACGACGACGGCGACGTCCGACGACGACGACGACGACGACGCACTGCGGATGCCCCAGGGGGGGGTGCTGCGGAGGCCCGCTGTAGTCGACGACGACGAGGAAGAGGATGAGGAAGAGGACGACGACGACGCTGAGGACGACGAGAGACGACGACGGCGACGGCAACGACGACGACGACGCACTGCTGATGCACTATGGGGAGGGGGGGTGCTTCGCAGGCCCGCTGTAGTCGATGGCGACGACGACGGCGACCTCAGAATAATTGCCGGGGGGGCAGGCAATTATACAATTTCCCCAGTGCGACCCTACCTAGAAGTTGGAGCCCCTAGGAAAGCAGCATTAGTTGCTATGCTATGCTATGCTATGCTATGCCATGCTATACTGCGCTATGCTATGCTATGATATGCTGCGTTATGCTATGCTATGCTAAGCTATGCTATGTCATGCTGCGCTGTGCTATGCTAAGCTATGCTATGCTATGCTAAGGCGCGCTATGATTTGCTATGCTATGCTATGCTGCGCTATGCTATGCTATGCTATGCTATGCTATGCTATGCTATGCTACGCAATGCTTGGTTATGTTATGATATGCTATGCTATGCTAATGCAGAGCTGCGCTAAGCTAAGCTAAGCCAAGCTAAGCAAAGCTAAGCTAACCCTCTAGGCAGAGTTTTGCTGTTGCTGTTGCTTTGCTTTGCTTTGCGTTGCTTGTGCTTTGCTTTGCTGTCGCTGCTGTTGCGTTGAACGTTGCTTTGCTGCTATGCTATGCTCTGCTATGCTATGATATGCTACGCTGCGCTGTGCTATGCCGTGCTGTGCCGTGCTGCGCTATGCTATGATATGCTATGCGATGCGATGCGATGCTATGCTATGCTATGCTATGCTATGCTATGCTGCGCTATGCTAATGCTGGGCGTTGCTCTGATATGCTGTGCTGCGCTATGCTATGCTACCCTCTGCTATGCTAAACTGTGTTCTGCTATGCTAAAGCTCGGCGAAGCTGAGATGAAGGTAAGCTAAGCTGAGATAAACCTGAGCTAAGATGAAGCTAAGCTAAGCTATGATGAAATACGCTCAGCTAAGATGAGATAAACAACGCTAAGCTAAGGGAACGCGACTGGGGGGAACCACGGGACGGATCCTGGGGGAACCGCCCGGGGCGTGTAGCACTGCCCGGCCCCTTTAAGCAAAGACAGTAAGAACCCTTCTAGGCAGAGCCTAGGTAGGGAATTAGTTCTGGTGGCTGGGTTTTATGAGTCTGCCCAAATCAATTACTTCGGGGACCCCGGAGGGAGGGGGGGTAATTGTTTGCTCCCATTGTTTCTATATGCAGTTGTTGCGTTTTCCGAGGTGCTCGAATGCGCGTGCCGGCTCTCAGGGGTACATATGCTTAGGGGGGACGCGTCAACCCCCAATCGCCTACTGTCAAGGGAGGAAAAACCACCCGGACTGGACAAGTGGCGTTCACTAAACGGCCCTGGGCGTTTATGAAGCAGCCCTGCCCTGTTTGATTCCTTCTTTGGGTGCGTTTGCTAAACGACTTCGCGTGTCGGGGTGGTTATGATCGGGGTGGATTTTCTTCCATCTGTACTGATCGTGGATAAAGGGGTCGTGCGGATCCGCTCGCGGAGGCCTGCTGCCGATCCATCGGCGATGCCTCCCCGATGCGAGGCCGAGGCTCCCCCCCTGAGCTGACCCCTCAGGCTCCCGGGGCCGCTCTCGGATGGCGCCGCCGAGCTCGTCTTCGTGCAGGTCTCGGCGGATGAGCTGTCGGAGGCCAAGGCTCAGGAGGGGAAAACTCACACATACACAAGTCATCGTCGACTCCCAGGATATAATCGCACCGACACAATTCATCGTCGACTCCCGGGATATAAATGGGAAAATATGGGACGTGGGGAGAAGACGAACACCCGGAACATATGCGCGAAACTGTAGGACATCTTGAGGAGGAGGAGCAGGAGGAGGAGGAGGTGGAGGAGGAGGGGGGTTGAGGAGGTGGAGGAGGAGGATCGGGGAGAGGAGGGGTGTAGGAGGAGGGGGGAGGATCGGAGTTGGGTGGGAGGAAGGAGGAAGAGGAGGCGGAGGAGTAGGATGAGGGAGGAGTGAGGAGGAGGAGGTAGGATGAGGGAGGTGGAGGAGGAGTAGGTGAGTAGGGAGTGAGGAGAGTAAGAGGAGGAGGATGGAGGAGGAGGAGGAGGGGAGGAGGAGGTAAGGAGGAGGAGGAGAAGGGGGGGGGAGGAGTAGGCGTAACGAATTTCCAGTAGGGCTGTGAGTGTGAGATTGGTGGGGAAAGAAATTTACAGTAGTGGGTGGGAGGAGCGGGGGGGGAGAGGGGGGGAGTGGGTAGGTTAGGAGGGCGGAGTAGTAGTGAGATGTAGTCGGAGGAGGAGGGAGGAGAGGTGAATGATGAGTGATGGAGGAAGAGGCTGAGGATGAGGAGGGGAGGATGGGATGAGGAGGAGGGTGAGTGATGAAAGGGAGGAGGCAAGTAGGCAGAGGAGGAGAAGGAGGAGGCTGTATTAGTCTTAGTACACATGAGGATTTTAGTAGAGAGACGGAGTGATGCTGGAGGATTATCGTTTGAGGGGGTTTAGTTGGTGTATTTTATTTTTACGTTGCCTTTACGTAGATGATGATGCTTATTTTCTTACTATTCTCTTCTTGTTATTAGTCTAGGCGTAGGGTCGGAGGAGGCGTAGGAGGTATGTAGGGATTAGGGGAATGATTGCTGGTTATTATGAGGAGAGGGGGAGGAGCTGGAGTAGAGTAGTGAGCGGAGTGAGTCTTCGTAGTAGTATTCTCTTTTCGTTTACTTAGTTTTAGGAGGTGATTCGAGTCTTCTCTTCTTCTTCTTATTCTTTCTTAATTCTTCTTCGTCTTCTTATTCGTCTTCTCTCGTCTTTTTCTTCTTCTTATTTCTTGTTCTTCTTCTTTTCTTCGTTCTTCTTTAGTTGTTGTCTGTTTATTTCTTGTGTGTGTGTGTGTCTCCCTGGGCCCCTCGCAAGGCTGGGCTCGCGGACGCGGCGTGTCTCATGCTGGGCCTGGACCTGCGCGGCCGGGCGGTGTCCTCTGGGGCCTCCCCCACGGCCGGCGCGTGGATCGCCGTGAGCTGTCCGAGGAGCTATCTGAGGGACGGCTGCACGCTGCAGATCCCTGCGGGGAGGCTCCCTCGGAGGAAGAAAGGCGGCCTCCTCCGCCAGCTCCTCCTCCCCCGCCTCCCCCTCCTCCCCTCCTCCCTCCTCCTCCTCCTCCTCCTCCTCCTCCTCCTCCTCCTCCTCCTCCTCCTCCTCCTCCTCCTCCTCCTTGGAGGCTGGAGCCGAGGCACTTGCGTCGAGGCAGAGGGCCCACGCGGCTCAGGGTCCCGAGGATCCGCCAGACTTCTGGCCCTAGGCCCTGCGCAGCTGTGCTGCGTGGGGGCGGGGGGCGGCGGTTTGGAGGATCCCGTGGGTCGCATTCGTACTGCAAGACCTTTCTGGTCGAGTCAGCCCCTCCTCCTCCTCCCCCTCCTCCTCCTCTCCCTCCTCCTCCTCCTCCTCATCCTCCTCCTCCTCCTCCATCCCTCCAGTGCTTTCCCCGCCCCCCCCTCCCCTCGTCCCCCTCCTCCTCCACCTCTGCTTCCTTATATTCCTCCTGTTCATCCTCCGTCCTCCCCCTCTGCGGGGAAGCTCCCGGAGGAAGAAAGTCAAAGAAGAAACATGAGCACATAAACATATAGGCGCTCCGCGCGGATCTCTTGGATCCGCGCCTGGGCCCCCCAGCGGCGCCTCCGGCGCCGCCCCTGGCGCGCTCCGCGCGCCAGGGAGGGGGGTCCAGCGCGAATACAAGAACTTCGCGCGGAGCGCCAGAAATTTATGTTAATATTTTTTGTTGTGTTTATTATGTTTCTTCTTCTTCTTCTAGAAAGGCGGCCTCGTGCTCGCCCTGCATGGCCCTCCCCTAGGAGGCCCTCGTCGCCGCGGCTGGACTCGCCTCGCATTCGTGCTTGTCCGAAGGCACCCCGGGAGAGGTCTGGGGAAGAGCGGGCTCGGGACTTCCAGGGACCCCGTGTGGAAACAATCCGGACGTCGCATGTCTGGGCCCCAGATGTCCGCCAGGGGGCTCCCTGATTCCTGAGGGGGCACGACCTGCCCTTATCCAGAGGGATGCCTGTGGCGCCAGCCCCAGAGGCACCACAGGCAGAAGAAACAGTACACATTAGGAAGGTGCTGCTTCCCAGGCATCCGGCGCCGTGAGTTTCTCACAGGACGGTTTCCCCGGAGGCCCAGACCTTCCCTGCGGGGCTGGCTCCTCATCCCAAGAGCTGCTCTGCTGACGGTCCTGTGGGGCCCGGCGGGGCCACCCAGAGGCCGAACACTGCGAAAGGCCTTCGTCTCGAGCTTCTCTGGACGTTGGAGGTCTGGGGCTCTCGGCTTATGATGTTCCAACCTAGTTTGGCCTTGATCACCAGAATTTCGAGCACCACGAAAGCACCGAAGCTTGAAGGTTTTCACGTGTCGGGCCCTGGGAGGCGATACTCGTTCGACAGTGTGTCGATACTCTTCTGGGTGCTCGAGACTATTTCTGGGATGCGGCCCTTAGATACGGTGGGAGCAGCATGCCTCTCGGCCTCCCCAGGATCATCTCGCCGTGCGTCGTCCGGGCGACGGTACGCCTGACCACCGTCACGCCGTGCTGCGGGCAGCCCGTCGGCGGGGTCCTCGTGTACGCCAATGGGCGCAGGTGCGGCGTCTCCTCCGAACGCGGCCTGGACGTGGCCCTGCCGCGGGGCGCGAACACGGTGGAGATCATGGAGCTGGGCGAGCGCGGGTTCTCAGAGAGGAGGAGAGGGAGGAGGAGGAGGAGGAGGAGTAGGAGTAGGAGGAGGAGGAGGAGGAGGAGGAGGAGGAGGAGGAGGAGGGAGCAGGTACCCGTACCGCTACCCTTCCCTCGTTTTCCCCTTTTTGGGGCCTCCTGGGGGGCCCTGGCCGCCACCGCTGGATTCGCCCCGAGGTTTTGGTCAGAACGCACCCCGGGAGAGGTCCGGGGAGTAGCGGTACTGCTGCCTTTTGGTCTCCCCAGGTTCGAGGTCACGTCCCAGAAGGTCGTGGACGTGTCCGACGCGGCGGGCGCGGAGTTGCAGCAGGTGGAGATGTGCACCAGCGGGCGGGTCTATGCAAAGTTGCTGTCCAGGCCTCCGAATCCAGGGTTCCTGGTGAAGCCGTGCGCGGAGTACGCGGAAGCCTTGGATGACGAGGATCGAAGATAAGAGCCAATGCCACACGGCATAGATGTTCGGAGCGCCGCGCGGATTTTTTGGTTGAGCGCCGCTGGACCCCCCTGGCCGTGCCTCTGGCGCCGCCCCTGGCGCGGGGATGCGAGAGATCCGCGCGGAGCTCCGAAAGTACTGTTTCTGCTGATTCGTTCTGCCCTCAAGAGGACGAGCCGTGCAAGGGAATGTTGCCCTGCTGGCAGAAGGGAAGACGAGGACAGGCGGCAGCCTCGATGGAGGCCAGCCCCTCGCCTCAGAGAGCCCCGGACGTGTCTGCTAGCGCAGCGCGCCCCCGCTCGCGCGTCGGAGGCGGCTACCAGCTCGACCAGAGGTCAGGGGCGGCCCAGCCGACCCCTAGCAAGCCGTTCCCTTCCGTGACGCCCCCCTCGCCTCGCCCCAAGACGTATGTGTGCGGCCGGGGGGGAGCTCGAAGGGCGAGGATGCCGACGCGGAAGGGGATGGTTTGCTGTGGTTCGGCTAGGGCGCGTCCCACGAGGGGTCGTGCCCTCAACGCGTCCAGCCCCGGGGTGTCGTCGAGCATCGCGCTGACGCTGCGCCCAGGGAGCGATTGCACCTCGGAGCTCCTCCGGCTGTTCGCGCGGCTGACCAGGTATGCCTCCGAGGGCGACGTCGATCGGGCCGCCGAGCACCTGAGCAGCAGCGGCTTCCAGGCCATCGCGGAGGAGCTGAGAGCGAGGCAGACCGCAGCCACGTCTGGCTTCGGTGACGTCGGCCACGATCCGGGGGACAGGATCTGTTTCGAGCCGGACCACGACTTCGTGCACTGGGTCGCGGAGCGCAAGGCAGATCCCGACGCGAGAAGCACATGTGTGTTGTGCGGGGAGAACGGGAGCATGGGTGTTTGGTTCGGTGTGGCAGCTGCCGAGCGCTGTGGTGGCACCTGCTTGGGGACGAGCATGTCGACCAGCGTCGGGTCCAGCGCCAGAAAAGAGCAGCGACGAGACCCCTTCGAGGAGAGCTCCGTGAGGAGGCACGCCAGTGCTCCCTCGGGCAGCATGGCGGTCGCCTGCACCGGGCGCCGGGCTCCCGCGCCGTCCCCCTACCAGACGACTCCCTCCCGCGCGGCGGCGAGGCCCAGCTCGGCCTCCCCGGCCGGGGAGAAGCCCTGGACCCCGAACGGCGTGCCGAGCCGCCTGTCCACCAGCGTGCCCCAGAGGCGGGCCGCGCGCGCCAGCTCCGCCGGCGGCGCGAGGCCGCGGGCGGAGCCGCCCTGCCCCCGGCGGGCCCCCCGGCCGACGTCCCTGCGGTGGTAGCGCGCGCTTCCCTTGCCCGGGTAGAAGTACCAGCCTGGAACATATCCCTATCCCTATGCTGGGCGCCTCCTCATCACGGTACCAACCTTAGGGATTCCCTGATTGTCTGAGGGCGAACCCCTAAGATTGTCCTCGCCTTTTGGCGTGTCAATCTTAGGCGGCATAGGGATACGTTCGAGGCCGGTCATAGAATTCAGATTTCCGGCTCGCCCCTGCTCCGCGGCGGGGGCACGGGCGCTGAACTGAGGCCCTTCTGCTTCTCCTGCCTGCCGCTCCGAGAGAGATGCCTTATACATGGTCCAGGGCTTGGGCCCCCCCCACCCCAATGCTGATGCCATTGCCCCTCCCCCCCCCCGCGCGATGGTCCCCCCGCCCCCCCCTGTGGGCGTGGCGTGGTGCTGCGCTGCGGTGCCCCCCCCCCCCCCTGTGGATGTGGTGTGGTGCTGTGGTGGTTCAGAGGTGGGCGTGGCGTGGTGCTGCGCTGCGGTGCCCCCCTCCCCCCCCCTGTGGATGTGGTGTGGTGCTGTGGTGGTTCAGAGGTCGTCGTCGTCGTCGTCGTCGTCGTCGTCGTCGTCGTCGTCGTCGTCGTCGTCGTCGTCGTCGTCGTCGTCGTCGTCGTCGTCGTCGTCGTCGTCGTCGTCGTCGTCGTCGTCGTCGTCGTCGGCCGCCGCAGCCGTCGTCGTCGTGTAGTCGTCGTGTCGTCGTCGTCGTCGTCGTCGTCGTCGTCGTCGTCGTCGTCGTCGTCGTCGTCGTCGTCGTCGTCGTCGTCGTCGTCGTCGTCGTCGTCTCTGGGACCATACCATCTGGGGGGGGGGGGCCCGAGGAATCCTGGGACCATACCATCTGGGGGGGGGAGGGGGATCATACATCCCGGGCCCGTGGGCCCGGAGCCCGGGATCATACATCCCGAGGCGCGAGCGGAGCCACGGAGCGTGCTCGTCCTCGCCTCTGCCTCCCAGCCTCTTCTCCTGCTCTCCTCTGCTCTCCTCATCCCCCTCTCCAGACCCCTCCAGCCCCTCCTCCTCCTCCTCCTCCTCCTCCTCCTCCTACCTCCTCCTCCTCCTCCTCCTCCTCCTCCTCCTCCCCCTCCTCCTCCTCCTCCTCCGCCTCCTCCTCCTCCAGCTCCTCCTCCTCCGCCTCCTTCATCTTTTCTCCCCTCCCCTTTTCCCTTCCCCCACTCTATTCCCCCCCGCTCCCATTCGAAAGCGCCGCCCCTCGGAGGTGCCCCCGGGCGCCCGCCCTTCTCATCCTCGGCTCGCGTTCGAGGCCGCGATCCCCCGGGGCCTGTCCTGGGGAGCGTTCTGGCGAGGACTCCCCAGACATGTCCGCGTCGTAAAAGAATCAGGACGGGTAATTTTTTCCCCATTTTCGGCCTAGGGGGGCCCTCGCCGGGCCTCGGGAGCGTCAAAAAACGACGCAGGATGAAACACCGGTCTAGGGGAGTGGGTCGAGACCTCTGGGGGTCGACGTAGTGAAAAAATCCTGACGTCGAGGTCTGGGTGGCGAGGACTCCGATAGGCATGTTTTTTTCATGGTGAGTCGTTACTTTGACGGTCTCCCGGGGCCCAGCGAGGACTCCCGAGGCCCCTGGAAGAGGCCGAGAACGACCTGCCACAATCCGCCTTACATTGTATTCAGTGCGTTGGCTGTCTGGGTCTTTCTGCGCCCTATCTGGGTCCCCAGACGCCCTCGCGATATGAAAAAGTCACGACGGTAAGCTTTTCGCCGTTTTCGGCCTCCAGGGGCCCTTATTGGGCCTCGGGACCGTCAAAAAGCGACTCAGGAGGAAGAACCGGTCCCTGGGGTCCAGACTTCTGAGGGTCACGTCATGAAAACATTACGACGTCGGGGGTCTGGGGTCTTTCTGCGTCCCATCTGGGTCCCTGTCGTCGCCCGGACGGAGCCTTGGAGTCCATCATCCTGCCGCTTTTTCCGAGCCGGACCGGCCTGTGAGAGTCCCATGGGGCCCGCAGCCCCGCGAAGAAGCGCCCGTTTCGGGAACCAGACTGCAGCGCGCGGGCTTCTGGGTCCCCTTTTGGGCCCTCGCCGCCGCCGCCCTCGTCGTCGCCCTGCAGAGCGTCGTCGTCCCGCTCGGGCCGCCGTCGGCGCCGCTGGCCGCCGCACGCCTCCGCCCGGCGCCCTCGTGCGGCCCGCCGAGGGCCGCCGGCCGCCGACGCGCCCGGGGCGCCGCCGGCGCCGCCGCCGGCGATGGTCGTGGCCGCCTGACCTCTTATCACCGGCGAGGGCCCGCCGAGAAAGGGCCAACTCGGCGACGGCAATCCCAGACCTCCTGGCGTCGTGGAAAATCACGACGGGAGGTTTTTCGCTATATTTTCGCCCTCCGGGGGCCCTCGCCGGGCCTCGGAAGCGTCAAAAAACGACTCAGGACGAAGAACTGGTCCCGGGGAAGGGGTCCAGACCTCTGGGGGTCGACGTTGTGAAAAAATCACGACGTCGGGGGTCTGGGATCCCAGACCCCCTCGGGCAATGAACAAAAATCGTGACGGGAGGTTTTGCCCCATCTGCGGCCTCGGGGGGCCCTTATGCCAGCCCTCGGGACCGTCAAAGACGACTCAGGATAAAAAACTGGTCCAGAGGACTTGGTCGAGGCCTCCAGGGGTCGATGCAGTGAAAAGAATCATGACGTCGGGGCCTGGGTTCGGCGACTGCAAGGGGTGTGGTCACGACACGGACTCCCCCTCGCGCGTTTTGAGAGACAGTCACAACGGGCGGTTTTTGTTCGCCGTGCTCGGCCCCGGGGGCCCTTACCGGACCTCGGGGCCGTCAAGCAACGACGCAGGATCAAGAAGGGGTCCCCGGGAAGGGGTCCAGACTTGCGAGGGTCACGTCATGAACAAACCACGACGTCGGGGGTCTGGGGACGAGGTGTGGTTTGCGATCTGCGCCGCTGGGGCTCAGGGGCCACCACGTTGCGCTAAAAGGTTTGATGGGTTCGAGTCGGGGCGCGGCAGAGATCCCTGTTGAGGTTCTCGCCTCCCCCCCCCCCAGGCGCGGGCTGCAAACCCACACAACGCTGATGCTTTTCGTGCCAAAGAGGCTACGGAGTGCGCACGTACTTACACAATACAGGTCGCAAATTTGTATCGAACCAGTCTCACTAGCTTACCTGCCGTGCTGCCTAATTCACAGGTTTCCTGCAATGCATCCGCCCTCGGCCATGCATGCCTCTTCCCCCTCCCTTATAAATGCTGCGCATTACCTCAACACGTCCTCGATTCCGCCAGGCCTGTAGGCCCAGGGATCGTGAGGCAATGTCTGGAAGACCCGGTTGGGTAAGGCACGTTGACGTCAGCGTCAGTCTTGTGTCTGCTTCGGGGGTGGACAGGACCCCCACCCTGACACGTCGATTAGTGAATTGTCCGTTTTCGGTTTTCGAGAGGGCGCCGCGGCCGTCATTTTCCAGGCTTGCGCCCGCCAGGTTTGGGCCCGAGGTCGTTTTCACTAAACCACGTTTTACTAAAGGGGGTTCTGTCCATCCCCGACTGCTGCTACCAGCACCACCCAGGGCTGGTGCAGCGAGAATTCTGATATAAGGTAGGCTTCTCGAGCGTATTTCTGGAAGTGTCTGGGGACACCCTGTGCAGGACAATTCGCCGGTTTGCCTGCTGATATATATATTTGTTATTGGATATTATGTTAACCGGTATACCGAATGCTGGCTCAAGCCTCTCTTCCTGCTGCGGACTGTTCGAACTGCCTTGGCTAGTTCGTCGCTAAATGGGCGGAACGGTCCGCGGCTAAGTCTACGCCTCTCCTGGGTCATCGGCTTCGTCAGCATGTCTGCTGCGTTGTCGTCCGTGTGGATATGTTCCGAACTCCAGGCGTTTCTGCTCGCGCCACTGCTGCAAAACCAAGATCCTGATCTCGATGTACTTGATCTTACCTGGTCCTATCTGCTTCACGATGTGCACTGCGCTGCTGCTGTCGCTTGCCCAGGACAGGCGAAACGTTCTCGTGCCACTCGCTCAGCATCGGTGCCTCCACTGCCTGGGCTAGTGGGCCAGCTGCCGCCTGTTGGGGCCCCACTGCCTGAGCTAGTGGTTCGCATGCCAGCGCTCGCCCTACCGTATGGCCGTCATTCTCCTCTCCTGGTCGTAGTGCGGCTGCTGCTTCTATTCGTGCCACGAGCGTGCCGTTCACCATCGAGCAGTGCTGGACGTGCCCGTTTCTAGCCGAGCACCAGAGGGAACAGTGGTTGTTGACCTGTTCCGCCTGGACGAGTCCCACGGTCTCGAGTCGCAGTACTCCCCCTTGTCCGTCGTACCCCGCCACTCGGTTGCCGTGCCTCATGCAGAACTTGCCGACTCTCATAGTGGGCTGCTTCACGTCCGTCACCTGGAGCTCTACGATGATTTTGCGGTTGCCTGCGATGTAGGGTGCCACCGTCTTCTGGCCGTTGTGCTTCAGCGGGGTGCCGTCGGCCATCGCCAAGCTCCGTTTCCTGCTGGTTGGTATGGCCACCCGTGAGAAATAGTGCTGGCCGCACACGTGCTCGTCCGCGCAGCTGTTGGTCAGCATCAGCATTCTGGTCCCTTCACGTTTCTGATCGAGCGTGTTTTTTTATTGCTTGAGCCATAATGGGCAATATAGCCCCTGACCCCCCCTCCCCCCCCCCTATAACGTAACGCCCCTCCCCCCCCAGTGCGCTCCGGGCGCTGCCGCCGTGCTCATCGGGCACACGGCGGGGGGAGGCGTTACCTTATACCCCCCCCCGGCCCCCTCCCCTCCCCTATAATGCCCATTATCGCCGAAAGTAAAGAAACGCGCTCATCATGCACCTCCGTCACCGCGAAGATGTGGCCTGGCTCCAGATCGGACTCGGCGGTCGTCGCCTGCTGCACGGTACATGCGACCCTTCCGAGTGTCGCCTGTCCCTGGGGTCCAGGTGCCCCGATCTGGTTGGCTGGGGGCCCTGAAGTTGATGCCGCCGCACTGCCGTGTGAAGAGCCCACCAACAACCAAGCATCCACTTGCGCTGA